TGTCTCTATTAAAAGTACAAAAAAAAAAAATTAGCTGGGCGTAGTGGCGCTCGCCTATAGTCCTAGCTACTCTGGAGGCTGAGTCAGGAGAATTGCTTGAACCCAGGAGGCGGAGGTTGCAGTAAGCCGAGATCGCCCCACTGCACTCCAGCCTGGTGACAGAGCGAGACTCCGTCTCAAAAAAAAAAAAAAAAAGAGAGAGAGAGAGAGAGAGAATTAACCACAAAACTAAACAGAAGTTTACAAAGTCCATCAGGTGTACAGAGGTAATTTATTCAGTCTGGCTTCACTTAGCACAAATGGGTCAAAATCAATCACATTTTAGTAAGTAGAAATAGTTGGAGAAATGTGTGAAGAATAGGTCAAAAGATAAATAGGAATTATTTTATAACCATAAGAAAGGAAGAACATTTATAAACAAAAGTCATATATACAACATAAAAGAACAGGTGAGCTGCCAACAAATGGGTCTCACAATGCCTTTTCCCCAAAGCTTCTGGAAGCTCCACAAAAATCACTGTAATGGGTCAAACACTGAGATTCTCAGAAGAACACAATATTTTTCAAAAACGAATAGTGTGGTAAATTTGTTTGAATTCATAAAACAGCTATTTTATCATCTAGACCAAAGTTAAAGAAATACCTACTACAAAAATTTTAATGGGATAATTAGAAAGAAACAGCGTGGGCCACTGCTTAGAGCAGAACACGGAGTTCAGTGGCTACCATAGGAAGGGTCAATGTCAGGATTGCCTGTAAGTCCAGATGAGTCTCTCTTTGCCCATTTTGCCACAGAACACATTCACAGCACAGTACAAAGCAGTAGGCACGGAGGAAGGAAAAAGGCCTGTGTTCTAATAGCCAGGAGCTCTACTCAGACCCACTCAGGTAAACTGAATGACAAAGATAATTCTTCCTGCAGGTCACTTCTTTTGCTAGTTTGCTAACTCTGAGTCCTATGCTCCTGTGCGAGGCCCATGGTGCGACTCTGACCATCCATTGAACTTTGCTGGGACAACATTCATGCCACCACATCAGAACAGAACAGAATGAAAAGCTTGCCCATTTTTTTTTCTCTTGAGACAGAGTCTCTCTCTGTTGCTCAGGCTGGAATGCAGTGGTACGATTCTCCTGCCTCAGCCTCCCGAGTAGCTGGGATTGCAGGTGCCTGCCACCACCCCCAGCTAATTTTTCTGATTTTGGTAGAGACAGGGTTGACCAGGCTGGTCTCCATCTCCTGACCTCGAGTGATCCATTCACCTTAGCCTCCCAAAGTGCTGCGATTACAGGCATGAGTCACCATGCCCAGCCCACATTACTCCTTTTCTGATGAGACCATCTCTTCAGATTAAAGCCTTTGGGTATATGCTGGAGGCAATTGGAATTCTTAATCCTTTAGCTTTGTATGATTTTCTTTCACATATTTAGAAGATCGCTAAGCCCCCTTTTATATGTTACTGTGATCCAAAGCTTGAGTAACTGGGGTAAGAATGCTGGCTATCTTTAGAGGAAGGCTTTTTAAATAAATTGAGAAAAATTAAACGGCATCATTCCTATAAAATGCCCATCGAAAGAATTTTTTTAGATAAACATTCACTTTTCTTTTTTATTATTTTTATTGTGTAAATTGACAGATAAAATTATATATATTTACCATGTACAACATGAGGTTTTGAAATGTATACACATAGTGGAATGGCTAGCATGCCAATTAACATGTATAACCACGTTTCCTTTCACCATGTTGAACCCTGACATAAGTTTTTTTTTGTCAAACACCTCATTCTGGAGAAGGAAATGATTTTTTTAAATTAAAATAAGCATACATTGGAAATAGTGCTAAAATAAGCCTGAAGGAAAGGTTAGAAGTATGATGAGTCAGAAAACTGTAAAGAACCAGTTACTTAACATAAAACACTATTAAAGATAAGCCGCAAAAAGTAAGGTCTGCTGGATAGGAAAGTGGCGAACGCAATGAAGCATGTCTTTAGATCACGCAGGTCTGTAACCAACGGTGAGTCTAGCAAAACTTATTTTCTGCTTTTGGGGAGAAACTTCTGCTTATTAAAAAAAATCAAAAATATTTAAACTTCTTGAGCACCAGGTTCAATTATTCTAAATCTTAAAACCACAGTTTTCATTTTGCTTTTTTGTTAGTTTTTGTACTTTGGAGTATTTGTCTACATTATCTTTTTATATTTGCCGTATTTAGAGTCCAAACTAAAATCACATTATTTTCTCTCCTCAAGTTAAATGGCTCTACCTTTTTCTTTAAAATTCATTAAGAGAGTGAGACTTCTAAAGCAAGTCAAAAAAAAAAAAAAGCCCTGAAAATGTGGAGCTTTTCTGGTAGTAAAGCAACTTCTGCAAGTATTGCAGACTGGATCAGGTATCAGAATTTTAAAGCTTCAGTAACAAAGCCACCCTATTGACCCTGAGGAGATTTATGAAGTCACTTTCCTGATGTTATTGAAACCAAAACACTTTCCTGGACACAGAATTCAGTCCGAAAGAAAGGGCCTCCAACCAACAGCCGTCTTGGACTGAATGAGTTAGACTCAACCTCGTGTGATGGAAAAATAGTAAACACAGCTAACATTTAAAAGGAATTGATGTCACCGTGTAAATCAGAAGCCCAAGGAGGGCCTGGCTTGAGGTATGGGGTTCTCTCTCATTCTCTCAAATCCACATCCTCTGGATTAGGTCCATTTTCAGACTAGCTCCTCCAGCAACTACATACCATACATCTTCTCAGGTGTGGGTCCTGCAGGAAAACTACTACACTCTTTCTCCATAAGTCTCAAAATAAACTCTCACTGGCTCTGGTTGGAACATGAGACCATCCTTGCCATTCACCATAGCCCCAGTCACTGAACATCTTCACGCCCTGGACTAATAATAGAGCCCATCCCAAAGCACCTGGACTGAGAATGGGAAATGAGTGGTTCCCAGAGTGAAACTGAGGTACTATTACTAAATGAAGGTAAATATATGTGGAATCTTAAAAAAAAAATTGATGTCCAATATTTGCAAGGTATACTTCTGCCATCAGATATAATGTATTATTGCAAGTGTACCTGCTTATCTATTCTACTATCATATTTCTAATTTCTGCAGGCCTTGAAAACATATGACACTCCTAGATACTTACCCAGGAGAAAGAAAAGCATATAAAGACTTGCACAAGAATGATTATAACAGTTTATTTGTAACATCCAAAAGTTATATGCAACTCAGTTCCCATTGATAGGTGAATGGATTAAAAAACAGAAGAATGGATAAGTAATACTACTTGCCAATAAAAAGGAATTATTTCTTGTTATATGCAACAACATGGATGAATCTCAAAATAATTACACTGAGTAAAAGAAGCAGCACAATAAAAGAGTACATACTGAATGATTCTGTTTGCGTCTTCTAGGAAATGCAAACTAATCTACAAGAACAGAAAGAAAACCAAGATTGGCAATTGCCTAAGGAACAGTGAGGGTGGGATATGAGGACAGGGAGGGGCAAAAGGGAAAGATTAAAGAGCTACACAAAGACACTTTTGGGGGCAATTGATGTCATTGTCTTGATCAGGAGTTGACTTTTTTTCTGTAAAGTGCAAGATAGTAAGTAACTTAGGCTTTGCATGTGATCTGATCTCTGTTGCAATTATTGAACTCTGCCATTGTAGCATCAAAACACTCATGGGTTTTTAAATGGGTGTATCTGTGTTTCAATAAAACTATTTATAAAAACAGGCAGTGGCCCAGTTGGATCTACACACCATAGTTTGCCAATCTCTGATCTTAATTATGGTGGTGATTTCACAGGTGTACACATGTGTCAAAGCTTATCAAATTACACACTTTAATTATGTGTTATTTAGTGTAGGTCAGTTCTACCTCAATAAAGCATTAAAAAATAAAAACAAAGCAAACACACTTGGGTTCCTCATCATGAATTGGATACAGTCTAATTTTCTTACCATGGTATACAAGTTCTTCATGTACTGGCCTCTCTTCTTCCCCAGTCAGACCCATTGCTATTCCCTGGTAGAATGTGCTTGACACACACCTCAGGTCATTCCAACTCTACACCTTTGTTGGGGTTCTCTCTGTTACCTCTCTGTCTAGAATGACCTGCTCCTACCAAGTGTCTAACTCAATCATCCTACTTGTACTTCGAGATTAAACTTGCACTTCCAGGATGCCTTCCACATCTTACTCCTGCTATTCCCTTTGCCTTATGCTCTGTGAGTTGCCTCATCTCTGTGCTCCATAATCGCCTGCGTGTTTGTATGTGCATGTGTTCTTGTACATACTATCTACAGACGTGCACAATTATAGTTCTTGATAATTTTAACTATATTTATATAGCTAAAATTTTCTCTTTTATATTTAGAATTACTATCCAGTCTCTGCCTCTACTACTTGACTGGAATCTCCCTCTTTCTATTAGACCTATCACATGACTGACACATTACAAAAAAAAAAAACTTCACTGTGTGCTCGCGCCTGTAATCCCAACATTTTGGGAGGCTGAGGAGAGAGGATTGCTTGAGCCCAGGAGTTCAAGACCAGCCTGAGCAACATGTTAAGACCCTATCCCTACAACAGTTTTTTTAAATTAACAGGGTATGGTAGGATGCACCTATGGTCCCAGCTACTCAGGAGGCTGAGGCAAGAGGATCTCTTGAGCCCAGGAGGTTGAAGCTGTAGTGAGCCCTGTTCATACCTTTATATTCCAGACTGGGTAACAGGGCAAGATCCTATCTAAAAAAAAAAAACAAAAAACTCAACAAAGCAGCATCATTGCTATTATTACAGCTGTTCAGCCCATAGGCACATCATTGACATCATTATAAATAGCCAAGCTAATACTGGAAAAGAAGTCTATATCGAATCTCAAAAAAGCTTTCTATTAATTCATGCAAATTTATTATTGGAAGCTTACCTGTATTTTACATGAGTGTCTTTTACTGACTCAGACACTCTTCTTCCTTTATCTCCTAGATACACCAAAATGAAGACTGCCACCAACATCTACATTTTCAACCTTGCTCTGGCAGATGCCTTAGTCACCAGTACCCTCCCCTTCCAGAGTGTGAATTACCTAATGGGAACATGGCCATTTGGAACCATCCTTTGCAAGATCGTGATCTCCATAGATTACTATAATATGTTCACCAGCATATTCACCCTCTGCACCATGAGTGTTGATCGATACATTGCAGTCTGCCACCCTGTCAAGGCCTTAGATTTCCGTACTCCCCGAAATGCCAAAATTATCAATGTCTGCAACTGGATCCTCTCTTCAGCCATTGGTCTTCCTGTAATGTTCATGGCTACAACAAAATACAGGCAAGGTGAGTGATGTTACCAGCCTGAGGGATGGAGGGTTCACAGTCTGATACGGTGATGTCATAAGCAAAGTAGTATTTATAAAGAGGTCCATCATCTTAGTCAAATTGTAATTTTAATTATTCTTTCTAGTAAAAAAATGCCTTTGAATACTTTAAAATTGGAATTTTCCTCATAATTTTAGGCCTATTAAACCCTTTAAAGAGAATATAATCTATTTATTTCTGATTTCTCTGTATTTACTTCATAAAAATGGTGTGTAAATTAGAACATAGCTCTCCCAAGAGTAATTGGAGCTTAAACCCAAAGAGTATTACACTAAGGTTTGTTGAAAATTTTCAAGTTGCTGATTACATGGCAAATTTATCTTTCTACACCTAATATCAGAATATTGAACAATCCATCAAAAAATGAAGTGAAAACATCCATTACCTGGAGTCTCCTAGAGACTCTGGATAATTATTACATTTTTTATATCAATGTAGACCTCATGGAGGATCTAGCTCATGTTGAGACGTTCATTTTTGTTCCCTGAATGAAACCTTAATGTGATCAAAGTGGGCTGCAAATGAGAAATTTAGAAAAAAAACAAAAAACATTAGAAGTAAAATTTTCTTTGAAAAGTAACAAACAACTGAGTTTCTTCCACAATTTCTTTATAGCCTTAGGTTAGCTCTGGTCAACGCTAAAAATAAATGAGCAAAATGGCAGTATTAACACCTTATGACATAATTAAATGTTGCTGCTAATTTTTCCTTTAAATTCCTTTCTTCTAGGTTCCATCGATTGTACACTAACATTCTCTCACCCAAGCTGGTACTGGGAAAACCTGCTGAAGATCTGTGTTTTCATCTTTGCCTTCATCATGCCTGTGCTCATCATTACCGTGTGCTACGGACTGATGATCTTGCGCCTCAAGAGTGTCCGCATGCTCTCTGGCTCCAAAGAAAAGGACAGGAATCTTCGAAGGATCACCAGGATGGTGCTGGTGGTGGTGGCTGTGTTCATCATCTGCTGGACTCCCATTCACATTTACGTCATTATTAAAGCCTTAGTTACAATCCCGGAAACTACGTTCCAGACTGTTTCTTGGCACTTCTGCATTGCTCTAGGTTACACAAACAGCTGCCTCAACCCAGTCCTTTATGCATTTCTGGATGAAAACTTCAAACGATGCTTCAGAGAGTTCTGTATCCCAACCTCTTCCAACATCGAGCAACAAAACTCCACTCGAATTCGTCAGAACACTAGAGACCACCCCTCCACGGCCAATACAGTGGATAGAACTAATCATCAGGTACGTAGCCTCTAGAATTAGGTGCATCCACTGGGGATGACGTAAAAAATTATAAATCTTTGTGCCAAACTAGGAGTTTAATCCATTATAGAGGATGAGAATGGAGGGAAGAGGGGAGCAGACTGTGGTTCTAGTGTTAGAGAAGAGGTTTGTTATACAAACTGTGTTCTTTATATTTGACTGTACATATTCATTTAGGTATAAAGATACACCAATGAGAAATCCATGAAACTATTCAAAATAACTATTTTTATGGCTTTTACTTCTATGAAAAATTTATGACTTTAGCACATTGTGGAAGTAATTCTTATCTAGAATCCTTTTCATTTTCCCCAGAATTATTATATAATTCATAGATGTCACTCCAAAATCCCTCTTATTTCTCAAAAGCCAGTCTTGCTCTGGCTCTGTGATTAAAGAGAGAGGGTCAGTGCCTTGCCCGCTGTGGTCATGGATGCAAGATATTCACAGAAAATTCGCATCATGGAAAAGGAGAAAAGATTAAAAGATGACCATTCCTAACTTCTCTTTAGCTATTGGTTTGCAACCTGAACTCTAGCACAAATATCAAACATATTAGACTGAATCACATATTTAACATATGAATCATATTTAACATATGAATATTAATCTAAGAAATATTATTAGATTAAGCAATTTTTAACGGACCTCATGCTTGTTGGAGATAATAGGGTGAATAGTGACTAGCTTTTGGAAGGTGTGTTTCTGCACCCAGAAGAGTACAAATGGGGACCTACACAAAATATTCAACACTTACACACAATGTCATAATCATATGGGAAATCAACAAGGAGGAAAGAGAAAAGGCTGTCTCCAAGTTCATACTACATGGTTAAGTCACTGGTTGGCTAACTTTGACCTCTGATCTATAAAATCAGTCAAATACATGGCTTAATTTTTAATATTAATCCAAGTAAGTAAATTTTAAATAATGATGCCAGCATCCAAAAATCACAGCCTGTATAATTTTTTTAACAGTGAATTCAAATTCAAACTTCCTATGAAATAAAGGCAGGAGTCAGAATCTTGGCTAAAGTTCCTAGAGCCAGGGGTCAGGACTATGAGGACGGATAGCTCCAGAGAAATGAATAGCAAGTCAAATGGTTGAGGAGCTAGGGGAGGCCTTTGACACCACAGGGTGCAGCGGCTTCTTCCTGCTGTCTCTTGACCACACCCTGTCTCTCACTGTCTCCTCTATACCCCACTCTGCCGTCCAGCCAAGCCCAGGCTCAACCTTTCTAATTGACCAGAGGACTAATGTAATATGGCCCAGATGCATCTGTCATGGGCGACATTAATCATCATACCCCTGGTATTCAGTGATGCTCAGAGGAACACAGGAACTCGCACCCCCTAGAGAACGTGAGGTAATGATGGCAGACCCACTTCCAGCCAAAGGGAGATTATTAACTTATTATGTCTCACTTCTAATTCTATTTCAGAAATGAATGCCAGAAAGAAATGGTTTTGACTCTGCTTCTCTTCTCTATGTTTTTTTCCACATCAAGACCGCTAAACCTACTCATTTTACTAGGAGCTACCTTTTAAAAGTAGTTGCAAAAACAGCCATTACTTTTGCACCAACCTAATGCTAAGCAGCTCTCTTATTCAGTGGCTGCTAGAATTTTGTAAGGAACTTTAAAAGGGCAGGGATTTAAATAGATTTTCACCAACCTGGGGATAACATGTTAAAGACTGCAACTTAAAATGCCTAGTCCTCAGCTAAGGGTAAAATATTTTGCTTTGAAGTAAAATATTTCTATTGGAGCAAAATCATGGCCATTATGAAGTATTGACTCTTTCTCCTTCAGTCCCTACCTGTACCTTCCCTGTCTTGCTGGGCTCTAGAGCATAGCTGCTTAGTAGTGTACCCTGGACCACTGCAAGGACCTCTTGCCACATATGACCTCCCAGCTGTCCTTCACTCAACCTGCCTTCGTGGAAATACAGCTCCGAGCCCGTCTGGTGGAGCATTTCTCCTGAGTTAAGCATGATTATTCTTCAGTTGCCCGACACTGCCCTTGATTCCCTTCCAAATTCAGCATTTTCACATCAGTATGGCTATTGTACAGCCAGATAGAAAAGAAGCTAATTGGAGGAGTTCTGTTCCAAGTAACTAAAAGGTTTGCTTTAAAAATACATCCAATTAGGCCTTATCTTCATCGCTGCCTCTATGAAGCAGCATTAGTGTAGGATAACAGCAGAAACACATTAGCCCTGGAATTGGCTGCTGTCCCAAAATGCCCAACTGAGACAGCCGGACACAGAAGAGAGGCTACCAGGAAAAGAGGGAAAGATGCTCCGACATATTTAAAAATTAAGACAAATCAAAGCTCCCTTTAGCTAATCTCCACTGATGTGTCATCATTAGAATTAAAGCAGTTACAACCAGACAACTGGAACAATACATAAGCTGCTAGTGATAGTTGCAATAATATATCAACATAATCAAATGACTTGAAGGAGAAATTGGAGACTTGATGGCTGTGTCTATAGGACATGTTGAATTAGTTGTACAAACCCAGACTGTGATAAACAGGTGTTTAGTCATTGTTTCACATCATGATCCATCATGTTTGAAAACAAAACTAACAGGATTTGCATTTAACCTTTCAACTACTTGTTTGAAGTTTATATTGGTTGTGGATGTTTATGTTCTGCCTTCTGTATTTGTACTTTCTTTGAGGAATATATTATACTCTATATGTCACATTTCAAGCACATTAGTCAACTTCATATTCTGCAGATCAGAGATCCAATATCAAACCTTCCCAGGGTGTCTATATTCTGACAACTATCCAGTGAGGCAATGTCCATACAGCGCAAAGTGGAGTGGCGATTTGGCAGTTATCAAGGTAATTTGATAAGCCAATGAAAAAATTCTGTGCCCAAAATAAGCTTGGAGTCATACTTACACAGTTAAGAGCTGCTCAGTCAGCTTTTGCTACACAACAAATCATTCCAAAATTTAGTGGCTAGAAGCAACCATTTACTTAGTTTACAATTCTGTAGAGCAGCCATTGGAACGGGGCTTGGCTAGACCATTCTAGTATTGGCTGGGCTCGCTGAGGGCAGCTGCCCAATGGGCGGGTGCTCAGCCAGCTGATCTACGTGGCCTCAGCAAGAATGACTAGCTCCACGTGGACTCTTACCCTCTAGCATGTTACCACAGCCTTGTTCTCACGGTGATCACAGATTCCAAGAGAGAGAAAAGAAAGGAAAGCTTCTTTTGGCATAGAGTAGGAACTGGCATACAGTCAACTCCTTGCTTGTTATAGGTCAAATAAAGTCATCCTGCCAACCTAGATTCAAAAGATGGGAAATTAGACTCCATCTCTTGCTGATAGGATCTGCAGTCACATTGCAAAAGGATAGGGATATAGGGAGGGAATAATTATGACCACTTTCACTAACAATCTGTAGTAAGGACATGTTGCATGAGACAGGGAAGCCATTACCTCCTGAGGACAGGAGCCATGTCTGTCTTGCTCTCCCAGGCCATAGTCTAGCACATTAAAAAGAAAGTACTTCTGGCGGGGCACAGTAGCTCATGCCTGCAATCCCAGAACTTTGGGAGGCCAAGGCTGGTGGATCACCTGGGGTCAGGAGTTTGAGACCAACCTGGCCAACATGGTGAAACCCCGACTATACTAAAAATATGAAATTAGCCAGGTGTGATGGCACATACCTGTAATCCCAGTTACTTGGGAGGCTGAGACAGGAGAGTCGCTTGAACCCAAGAGGCAGAGGTTGTAGTGAACCTAGATCGTGCCATTGCACTCCAGCCTGGGCAACAAGAGCAAAACTCCATCTCAAAAAAAAAAAAAAAAAAAAAGAAAGAAAGAAAAGGAAAGGAAAGAAAGAAAGTAATTCCAAAATATCCAAGGCACTGGACAGATTCATGTCTGTTGAATGGATAATGAGAGGGCTGAGGATATTTCAGGAGATGTGGCAGGCATGACCCCTTTCTCATGCAACTGACGAACAACCTAAATGACTGTGTAACCCTCTGACATCATTTCCGGCTTACTGTCAGTAATGGGAAAATATTCAAAATAGGCCTTCTTCCTTTTCTCCTCCTCAGCCTTTATTACTCTGATCCAATGTTATTCATACTTTTCAGAAAATCAGATTCATGGTTGTTTTCTAATTTTATTTCTAACGAGTGCTTTTGATGAGGAGACCAAGAGATTGATTCGGTGCCCTAAAGAGGTCTTTCCCTAGCTGAATATGAAAAAACAAAAAAGATGATCTCGTGTTTTTTTGTGCATGCCTGGACTCCGCCTACTGCTCCAGCTGTAGCCTTTGTGCCTGATTTATGTTCAGCTTGCTGTCTTTATGACTTTTAGATCTTTATTAGGTAGACTCAGGCATAGGCATTCATTTTCCATCTGCTCTCAGTGCAATTTAATTTCTCCACACATGCCCTACACTGCTGTTACCCTGTTGAACTCCACTTTGCCTTCAAACACTTCCCCCGTTTATTTCGATCACTTTGGGTTCAACTCAAACCTGAACTGCTGGCCACTGCTAACCTGCCTTGCCTACTTGGTTCCCACCTGAATCATATTATCTAATGCATTTTCTTTCTGTTGTTGTTTTTTGTTTTTTATTTTGAGATGGAGTTACTCTGTCGCCCAGGCTGGAGTGCAGTGGTGCGATCTTGGCTCACTGCAACCTCTTCCTCCTGGTTCAAATGCTTCTCCTGCCTTAGCCTCCTCAGTAGCTGGGATTACAGGCATGCGCCACCACAATCGGCTAATTTTTATATTTTTTTTAGTGGAGATGGGGTTTCACCTTGTTGGTCAGGCTGGTCTCAAACTCTTGACGCCAAGTGATCAGCCCACCTCAGCCTCCCAAAGTGCTGAGATTCCAGACATCAGCCCCCGTGGATGGCCTCTAATGCATTTTATGTCTTGACACATAGGTGAGTATTGAAAACATTTAGCATTATATGGGGAAAAAAGCAACACTGTTAG